AGAGTCCCAAGCAGGCTCTCGGCTGTAGGGACAGAGCCTGACGCGGGGCTTGATCTCACGGGGTTAAGAGTTGGACGCTTAACCCACTGAGCCACCCAGGCACTGCTCTCCCTGGTTTATAAACGTTCTGGTTATTTCCGTTTTTGGAAATGCACGCACAGATGTTTGCAGTGAACACTCATGAACGGATGTCCTCACAAATGAAGATGTTCTCCTGAACCACAGCTTCCGAGAAGTGGGCAGAGCAGGGTCAGAGGAGGTGCTCAGGCTGCTTTCCCGAGAGGCGGCCAGTCCCCGGGCGCGGCCACCGTGCCTCCCAGCCAGGAGCACCCGTGGCGGCCTTGTAAAGCTTCCGTCTTTCATTTTCCTTGTGATTTGCTTCTTCTCCCAGCGCGAGAGACAGAGCGTCCCGCCTCCGCTTCCGCTTCCCTGAGTTATCCCTTCGCCCTTTATCTCCTCAATTTGCCAGAGCTCGTTTGTACATGGATCACAGACATTTTCGCTCAATCTAGTGCTTGTCTTGTGACTTTGATACTAACATATATTATTTTGCCGTTGAGTATTTATGACTGTATGTGGCTTAGACTTTCTGTCTTTTCCTTTATTGTTACTGGACTCCTGTCTTGCTTAGAAAGGTCACTGTCACCTAAAGTTATGCAAATAGGCGCTTACATTCTTTCTATTATTTATTTATTTATTTATTTATTTATTTATTTTTCATTCATTCATTCATTTTTGCTTCCTGGCCTTTTACAACAGGATGAGTTTATTTTTGTATTGGTTTGGGGTATGGGGCTCAAGGTGTTTTCTTTCCGATGGGGGTTCAGCGGCACCGCCGGCCTTGTGAAGGGAGCCCTCCCTTCCTCAGGACAGAGAGGGCACTTTTCCCACACAGGTTCCCGTGTGCACGTGAACTGGGTTTCGGTCCATTCTGCTGCTTTTCCTATTTGGCACACTGTCTGCTGTTCGCCTGGCCTCACGGTGAGCCCTGACTTTCTGCACACGTTTCCAGGAACCGTTGTGTTTTCACTTTTATAACTAGACCTTAAAATAGTTACATCTGGTTATTAAAAACAGGCATTTGGTTGGTTTCCATTGGAAAGGATTGGCATTTCGGCGGCAGTTGGGCATGTCACCCAGACCTTGCATTTCTCACCGTGCACTGTCTGCAGAGCTCTGAAGGCAGAGCCACAGGAAATGTTTCCAAAGAGTAGAGGTTTGGAGAAGCTGTTCCCGAATCAGGGCCACCTCCTACATGCTGCGCGTGCATCTGGGCTGCTCAAGGGCTGTAGGGAATGCTGTGGTGTGCCGCCCACACTCCCTTCAGGGCAGAGGCACTTCCTCCTCCAGCTGCCAGACACGCCGGCCGATCTGCTGGCAGATCTACCCACGGCCACCACTCTCTCTAGAATCACCCTTGGCCACAGGAAGCCGCTTCCCCCAACAGAATTCATCCTCTTAGGCCACACCCCTGACTGGGAAATGTGAGGGAATAGGTGTGGCCTCCTGGCCTCAGCTTGGGACATTTCCCAGTGACCTCTGACGCAGAAATTCCCCTGGCAGAGGCTGAGGCCTCTGTTACAGCCGCTCCCTGCGCCCAGTTCTGTGTCTTCCTTCCTTCGTCACGTGTGTGGCTGCATGTAAATTTCAGAGTCTCAGAGTCTCTTTCCCAGGGAACCTGACCTAAGATATCAGAGAAAGGGTGTTGAAATTTTTTTTAATGTTCATTTATTTTTGAGAGAGAGAGAAACAGAAAATGTGAGCAGGGGAGGGTCAGAGAGAGGGAGACACAGAATCTGAAGCAGCCCCAGGCTCTGAGCTGTCAGCACAGAGCCCGACGTGAGGCTCAAGCTCACGAACTGGGGGATCATGACGTGAGCAGAGGTCAGATGCTTAACCAGCTGAGCCACCCAGGTGCCCCGGGTGTTGAATTTTGTATGTTTATCTTATATCTAGTCATGGTACAAAATTGCAAATTCTAATATTCTTTATAGAACATCTGTAATTTTTTTAAAACTTTATTTATTTTGAGAGAGAGAGTACACAGGAGGGGCAGAGAGAGAGAGAGAATCTCAGGCAAGCTCTGCACGGAGCCTGATGTGGGTTTTGAACTCACAACTGTGAGGTCATGACCTGAGCTGGAATCAAGAGTCGAATGCTTAACTGACAGCCCCCCAGGCGCCCCTTCGATATACTGCATATTTTAATTTCTTGACTCGTTTCATTAGGTGGAATTGCCAAACAAATTGTCAGTAATGGTTGTAATAGTGAGAATTTGCATCTTTTTTTCCTGATTAAAGTAGCTGCAGATTTTTAATACTGTTTTAAGGTAGTCTTTATCATATTTAGATAATTTTCTTCTTGTCTTGAACAGTTTTTTTTTTTTTTTTTAATAATGAATAGCCATTCAATTGTATGAAATGCCTTTTAGGTATCTCTTGACAAAAAAAAAAAAAAGCTGGATTTTTCCCCTTTATTTGTTGATGTGATAAATTGTTGATAGTTTTCATAAAGCCAAGATATTCTTGCATTTGTAATAAATGTAACTGGTTCATGTTTAAAATTGTTTGCTATGGGGGCCCTTGGGTGGCTCAGTCAGTTAAGCATCCGACTTCAGCTCAGGTCATGATCTCACAGATTGTGGGTTCGAACCCTGCGTCGGGCTCTGCGCTGACAGCTAGCTCAGAGCCTGGAGCCTGTTTTAATTTCTATGTCTCCTTCCCTCTCTGACCATCTCCTGCTCACGCTGTCTCTCTCTCTCTTTCTCTCTTTCAGAAATAAAGAAGACATTAAAAAATTATAAAAAAATAAAAAATAAATTTTTTGGCTATGTTGAGTTGTATTCAATATGCCAATATTTTAAATTTCTTGCTACTTTCTTTGCCTCACTCTTCTAATGGGGTTTTAGCATTAATGTAATGCTGACTTTTAAGAAATACATTTTTTAAAAAATGAGTTTTCTGTGTTTTTTATAGATCCAATTATTTCAATAACAAGAGAATTCCCTGATTTTTGAAAGTTAAATAGGACTCATCTCTAAAAATGCCAGAACCTGTGCCTTTTAAAGTGTAGAAATTTAATAATCTTTCCAATTTATCCTAGAGTTTTCCCACTGGCCACTTCCCTCTTCATTGTCATGGTCTCATTTGTTCTGGCCAAACCCTCAAGTGTAATAGATACGTTCAAATTCATCAACCCACCAGATAATGGAGGGATGGGATTTCGACTCTTGCCCAAGGTGTGTGTGGGTGTGTGGGAGCTGAATTTCCTAAGTGGGCTCCCTTCGGTTGGATTGGGGTGCTCCGTCAGAGCAGGAGCTCTGAGTGAATTCTCCAGGAAAAGGGCTGCAGTCAGAGCCCTAAGGCTGGTCTTCAACGTAGGCCTTAATGTGACAGCAAACGGAATGTGCAATTCACAGAAGACTTATTACAAATGGAGGCAAGCGTGAGAAAGGATGCTCAGCCTCATGATGATGAGGAGAATGAAAGTTCACAATCGATGAGATATTGTTTTCCGTGTAACACTGACAGGACTTTAAAACTGATATTTCTAGGGGCGCCTGGGGGGCTTAGTCGGTTAAGCGTCCGACTTTCGCTCAGGTCGTGATCTCGCGGTTCGTGGGTTCGAGCCCCGCGTCGGGCTCTGTGCTGACTGCCAGCTCAGAGCCTGGAGCCTGTTTCGGAGTCTGTGACTCCCTCTCTCTCTGACCCTCCCCTGCTCACGCTGTCTCTCTCTCTCTCTCCTAGAAATAAATAAAAATATTAAAAAAAAAAGAATAAAATAGATCTTTATGTGCAAGTAGGGAATAATGTCCATGACATATTGTGGAATAAAAGAATCAACCTGCAGAATGGTATGTTTCGCATGAAGTATTTGTGTAAATTGTGTGTGTTTGTGTGCGTTTAGTTGCCTGCAAAATATCTAGAAATGTGGTTATTCCCAGTTGTGTGACAGGATGGGTGTGGGAATGAAGACACTTTATCTTTTTATTTAATTTATATCTATACTGCTTGACTTTAAGAAAAAGGCACATAGTACTTTGGTAATAAAAAAGATTTTTTAGTGCTTGCAACAAAAATGCTGATGTAATTTTAAACCAGTTGGCAATTTCTTTTAGAAAGAGCAATACTAGAGCTTCCTCACTCTGGGAATTGGACTAAACGTGACTTAGTCTTCAAGGGAAATAGACAAGGCATTAATTCTATTAATTAATGCATCAGCAGATTCCGTCTCAGCAAAGGCTGTCTTAATGAGGTGCTCGGGGCATTCATTATTTATCTTACAAATATCAACTCAGGGCCCTACTTTGTCAGGCGGTATAACAGATGTCCCCTCCGAGAGTGAGGTGCTGGAGAAACGCAAATATAGCTCACAGACTGCTCCCTCCGCCCCGCACCCAGGCCTCACCATCCCCCGCCTCCCCGCAGATGACCTCTGCCATTCCTCTGACCCCAACTCCCCCACTCTGTCTCTGTCTCCCACGCATCGCTCTCCAGGACCCCTGGAAACAAAATCATTCCGGCCTGGACTGCAACCTCACGCCCACCCAGCGCTGCGGGCATCTCACACCCTCCGGGAAGGGATCTCTCGGCCTTCTCTCCTGAGGCTCACAGGGGACTGGGGACGCAGGCACCCTCTGTGAGGCCCACCCTGGGAGGCCCCGGAACCGACAATGGCCGAGTCCGCTCTCCTCACGCGGACGTAGCCACACGCCCATTCCCTTCCGCGTTTCCGCCCCGCGCCCGCGTCGCCGCGCCCGCATCCGCATCCGCATCCGCGCCCCGGCGTCCGCGCCCCGGCGGTCCCCCCCGCACCCCGCTGGGGGCCCGGCCGCGCCCCCCCCGGAGCTGTCCGTGGTGCTGACCGCAGGCACCGCCCGCGCTCGGCCGCTGCGCACGCGTCCCGGGCGGGGCGCGCAGGACCCGCCGGCGCCGCCACTGCGCAGCCTCCCGCGCGGCCCCGGCCCGCGCCCCGCGCCCCGCGCCCCGCGCCCCGGCCCCGCGGCCTCCGCCGGCCGCTCTCCGGGCGCGCCCGGGCCAGCCATGGCGCTCAACAATTTCCTCTTCGCGCAGTGCGTCTGCTACTTCCTGGCCTTCCTCTTCAGCTTCGCGGTGGTGGTGCCGCTGTCCGAGAACGGCCACGACTTCCGCGGCCGCTGCCTGCTGTTCACCGAGGGCATGTGGCTGAGCGCCAACCTGACGGCGCGGGAGCGCGAGCGCTTCACGGTGCAGGAGTGGGGCCCGCCGGCCGCCTGCCGCTTCGGCCTGCTCGCCAGCCTCCTGTCGCTGCTGCTCGCCGCCGCGCACGCCTGGCGCGCGCTCTTCTTCCTCTGCAAGGGGCACGAGGGGTAAGTGGGGGCCCGGCGCGGCGCCGCTGCCGGCAGCCGCAGTCCCGCCCTCGCCCCGGGCGCCCTCGGCGCTCTCCGCCTCCTGCGCAGAACCCGGGCCCGTGAGGGTCACCGGTGCTCTGTACACGGCCAGGGCTTCCCTCCCCGAGAGTGCATCGCCTCTCGCCCTGGGCATTTACCGCCCCTGCCCCTGGGGCGCACACGCTGCCTTGTCGTCTCCCCGCTGACCTGGGCCCTGCCTGGCTTGCTGGCTCAGCCAGGCCCACGTCCCTCAGCGCTTCGCGACACCCCCTAGCCGTCTGGGCCTGGGCGCTACTCCGGTGGGGGGGCGGGACCAGGCCAGGCAGCTGGCCGCTAAGGCGGACGGGGGAGTCGTCCCCTCCCCCCTTCCTCCTGGGAAGGACGGTAGTGGGGCAAAGGCCTCCCTGGGCCGACGGCCAGCACCCGGGCCTCGGCTGGGGATGCAAGACAGGGAGCAGCAGGTCCACGAGGCCTCCCTCCCCGCTGGCCTCCGGGTCCCCCTTCACCCTCCCCTGCCCTGACACAATTCTGGGAGAGAGCGGGTTCACCCGGGGTCCTCGGCCAGTAGCGTTCCAGGCGCCTCCAGCCTGTGGGGCCCTGGCCCGGCACTGCTGTGCTGAGCTCCCAGAGGCCCCTGCTGCCCCTTGGCCGCCCTCACAGCCACAGGGGACATCGGGGCCTGCTCCCTGGCCCTGCCCCCACCCTGGCAGTTTGGGGGCCTTTTCTCTTCTCTCCGGGACGTGAGAGAGAAGCTATTGCTCTGAGGGCCCCAGTGGGTAGCCGGGTCAGGCAGGGACCCCTGGGGGCCGTCAGAGGGGCGAGCGAGGACTAGCAGCGCTGGCAGGTGCCGAGGAGCCGGGCGGCCGAGGCGGCGCCGGCGCAGGGGCTGAAACACTCGGAGGAGGGTGACGTCCAGCAACGCACACGTGTGGGTCTCCAGGGCTCACGTAGCGAAAAGCACAGACACATAAGCTGCATACGATTTATTCCCCACAGGTCTGGAGGCCAAAGGTGGAAAGTCAAGGGGCTGGCCGGGTGGGCCCCCCGGAGGGAGGAGTCATCCGGGGCAGCTTCCATCCGGCCCCTGCCCACGGCCTTCACATCCCTTGGCTCCGGGCTTTGCCACTCTTATTGCTGTGTCTTGTCTTCATGTGGCCTCTTTTCTCTCTCTGTTTCTTCCCCTCTTCTTATAACGACGCTGGTCATTGGGTTTAGGACGCACCTCATCCTGAGGTCTTTAGCTGAATGACACGTGCAAAGACCCCGTCTCCAGTTAAGGTCACAGGCGCCTGTCCTGGAGCGAAGACTCGGGCATATGTTGGCAGGGCGCCGTTCAGCGCACCACTGTTTCCGGGTTCAGGGTCTGCAGGAAGCCGCGTGTCAGCCTGGGCAGGCCTCCGGGGGCCGTGGGGCCGGGGCTCTGCCCGCTGCCACAGGCCTCGCGCTTCCCTCAACACACTCGACGGCTGGTATCCCCGCGAGGGATGTCAGATGTCACGGGCGTGCACGTTGCCGAGCTGGGTGTTACCGTAGTCAGTGTCCCCGTGCAGATCGGGACAGGGGAAGCCTCTCTGTATATGACACCGGGTCCCGCAGGGCAGGGTAGCTGAGGTCCCTGCAGTCCGGGAGGCTGGGGGCTGGGGGCACAGGCCCCTTGACCCACCTGGTCCCTATGCGACCAGCACCCTCACGAGAACCCCCCCCCTTACAGCTGTCAGACGACACAGGACAGAGCTGCTGTCACTGCAGTCCCTAGATTTGCTGCCTAGGCTGAGTGACCAGGATTCCTTTCCCGCAGGATCTGGGACTCTCAGCCCTGCCCGCCCTGCTCCCAGTCCCGGGGGGTCCCCGGGCTCCAGAGCCTCACATGCCCTGAGCCCCGAGGCTGGGCCCTGCCTGCTCACAGGGCCTCACCAGCTAGATCCTGAACACCGTTAGGCCACTTGTCTTACAGGGACGAGGTGCCTTCGGCAGCCAGCCTGCTGTGACATCTGTCCAGAGCCAAGCCTTCGTCTGGGTGTGGTTGGTAGCACGAGGCCAGAGCTCCCCCAGGGATCCGGGAGTGGCCCAGTGTGAGGGGCCCCCGGGCGGGATGGACCCAAGGCAGGTTGTGTGCGCTCAGGGCCGAGCTTGGGGGCCACCAAACACAGAAAGGAGGCCTGTGTGTGAGGTCTGCTCCCTGGCACCCACCCCCCAGCTCTGGGGCCTGCAGACCCACAGTCTGGCCATGGGGTCAGCCCTGCGGGCTGTGTCAGCGAGTCCTGGACCCCCAGGAAGCTCGGGCCTGCCTCGTGCAGCCACAGGCAGGATGGGAGCCTGGAGAGGCCAGTCCCGGCTCCGGTGTCGGTCAGGCCGTGGAGAGCAGGGAGCGGGTGCTGGGACAGACAGGAGGCTGGGAGGGCAGTTAGAGGGAGCTCGTGGGGCGGTGACGGCCCTCAGGGTGTCCAGCTCATCAAGGACATCACTGCTGCTGTCAGACTCGGGGTCTGCGTAGGGGTGGTGTGCACCCTAATTCTCTTGAGTCCCCATTCAGAGACCAGCCGGGACCCCGCCGAGACCCAGGGCAGGGCCCTGCCCTTTGGTCTGTGTGAAGGGGCTCAGGGCCGGGTCCCTGGTGCCTGGGCCAGACCCTGTCCATGTGCCAGCTCCCTCCTCACGTAGGGTATGCCTCGGCAAAGTGGGGCTCAGACAGCTGGTGCCCTGGAGTGTAAAGGGCTAAAGGGTGGGGGCTGCTGGCTGAAGGAAAGGGGGTGTGAAACAGTGGCCCCTGGGGCTTCCTGGCTGGTGGCCCTGGGCAAGCCCAGGGAGGGTCCCGGGCTTGGGGGGCCCAGGGCAGCTTAGCCTGAGTGGAAGCGTGCAGGTGGCCGCGGTCTGTGATTGACGGCTGGGGAGTGCTGGGTCAGAACAACCCATCTGCCTGCCCACACTTGTCCCCCAGCCTGCAAATCGCTCCCAGAGCTTCCCGGAAAGCTGTCACCATGGAGACGGCACATCTCCGGCACCCTGAGAGGCTGGAGGAGAGAAAGATGGAGTTAACCCTATGTGTGCCGGGCTTCCTGGTTTCGGCAGGAGGGCCGAGGGTCCTTGGGGAGCAGGGGGCACTGTGGACTCTGGGGCCAGGCTGAGTGAGGCCCTGGACACGCTCAGTCCTTCAGAACTCTGCAGCCCAGGCAGGTGCCATGGCCCAGACGACTCGGGGAGTAGGAGGAGGCTGTGGGGGGAGGACAGCAGCCCCACGCCCCTCCCTGTCTGATGGCACGGACGCCTTCCTGTCACGGGAGGAGAGCCCCAGATTGCGCCTGTTTAATAGGGATGTGGCTGGAGCCCCCAGACAGTCCGTTTCTGGCTATGGGGCGGATGCCTTGTACCCGCCCCCAGGGGGTGGGGGCTGCGTCTCAGGCTGTGCCGGTTCCCTGGGGGTGGTTCTGGCCACATGGGGTGCATCGAGCCCTGGGTTTGCCTCTCTACAACTCCTCCCAGGAGGGGGAGCAGGACTTGAAGTTGGGGGGCTGCCCTGCCAGCACATCCTCTGCACCCTGGTCGTCTCCCCCGCCCCCAAAGGCCTACGGGGGGCAGTAGCTGGCTCATCCAGGATACCGGGCACGTGCAGGGCAGGGTCCCTGGTGGGAAGGGGAGGCTGCTGGCAGGTGGAGGGCACCCCAGGAACCCGTTGTCCCAGGGAGCTGGCCTTCCGTGCCCAGGGCGGGCATCTTCTTCCTTCTGCCTGTGGACGCTCGGTCCTGGCCCCCCCAGGACCCCTGTGTTCTCCCGGGCTGGAGCAGAGTGGCCGTCCAAAGTCGGGGTGTAGGCTCTGGGTAGCCTCTGGTTTCCCTGGAGCATTTGCTCCCGGGAAGGAGGGCCCCTGTGGACTCCCCAAGCCCAGCCTAGCCCCATGTTGCACCACAGGGGGCACAGCTGGCCCCCAGCCACCGGCTCCAGGCATCTGGTTGAGGATGCTGCTCCCACACTTCCATCTCTGCAGCCACGCGCCAGCCCAGGGTTCTGGAGGTGGGTGGAGGCTCATCCCGGTGGGGGGAGGGTGTGCTCAGGGGGAAGCCCCCTGCAGCTATAGCTCTCTGTCCCCTGCCCATACAAGCTCCCTCCGTTTCCACAGTGAGCCAGTGGGGGGCTCTTGCTACCCAATATACAGAGGGAGAAATTGAGGCTCTCAGAGAGTGACTCGCTGAAGGTCACCCAACTGGCAAAGAGGTGGCCAGAGTTGACACCCTGCTGTCCCCGGTGAGGACCTCGGGGTGGGGTTGGCCCCAACGCACCCTCTTTGTAACTATAGGCCCCGACCTCTTATTTAGAGCGCCGAGGGCCGGGCGGGTCCTGGGGTTTGGAGCTGGCCACTGGGGTCCCAGCTGGAAACAGACTCTCAGGCCCGTGCATGTGAGGATAACCTGAGGAGGGCCGTTCGCAGAGATGAGGATGTGGGCCAGGTGTGGCTCTTTCACCTCCGGCTGCAGGGACTGGAAGAGGCATGGTCACCTTTGGTGGAGGGACAGCCACCTGGGGGGCATCCCCCCACCCCAGTGCCTCTCCTTCCACCCCCTGCCCGGTCCCCACTGGCTGAGCTCAACCAGGAGCCAGGGAGAGGGGTCCTTGCCACAGTCTTCTTGGGTCAGCCCCCTGGCAGAGGATGGAGGGGCGATGATCTGCAAAGTCAGGAAATCACCAGCCCCCGGGCAGGGGGCACGGAGCCCACCCACCTACGACGAAACACCCGAGCGGCTCAGGCAGGCTGGGAATGGAGCACAGGGAGGTTTGCACAAGAAACACGCATGACCTGACCCTGTCGTGGCCCTGACGATGGCCCCGGTCAGCTGGGGGCGGTGCTGACGCCCGTGCGTCCATGTGAGTGTGAGCGCAGACACGCTGGCTGTGCTTCTGGGACTGCAGCCTCGGCCCTCCCGCCTCCGGTTCAAGCCCCCAACCCTGGAGCCGGTGCAGCAGGTGGCCCTGTGGGGGCACTGGTGGCTGAGGTGATCGCCTGCCCGAGGCTGGGGTGCCTCCCGGGGCTGGGATGGGGCTTGGTTATTCCTTTGTGCTCAGGGCTCAGCACAGGGTGGGGGGACGCTCATTAAGTGTGTGGCGGGTGAAGGCAGAGATGGGACGCAGGGCAAAGTGGACGGTGCGTAGATCTCCGCTTTGTCCCGGCCCGAAGCCACCGCATCTGACGGCAGCTTGCACGGTTTCCTGGCTGAAGCTGCGACCTTAAGTACGTGTTCTCTTTGAAGCCGTTGATCTTGCCCCTCAGACTCCATGTGCTGATGGCACAGATGTCCACCGGCACAGATGTAGAGGTGGCCGCGGGGCTGCTGTCCCACCTGAGGGCGTCCCCGTCCCCCCCGCCCCACATGTCCCCAGGCGCAGCCCGGCCAAGGTTCCCACTCAGGACTCTGGGTCTCCAGAAGGAGATTTGGAGGTGGCGGGGTGGTGGGCAGGGCTGTGGGGCTCCAGCCACATGCCGCCTCCTCCAGAGAGCAAACGCTGGTGTCCTGTGTAGGCACCCAAGTGGGGCCAGGTTCGTGTGACCCCGAGCTCTGTCCTCCTGGCCCTGAGCCTGCGTCCCCCACCCCCACCCCGGGCACCGCTGGGCCTTAGGCTTCAGTGGAGAGATGGGAGCGGGGGCCACACCACAAGCCCCCGATGCCGGTGCAGGCCAGCGGGCTTGATGACCATGTGGGCACGTGGCCTCGGGGCAGCCAAGTGGGGAACGGCCTGGAAAGGGTGTCCTGCCTCTTCAGCCTGTGCTGGTCGTAACACTCTGGGCGCAAACGCTCTGGGGCTCGGTCCCGGCTCCAGGTCTCCAGCGGGCGCCGGTGGGCAGCCTGGTGTCAGCATGGGACTTCGGGGTGAGGGACAGCGAGGGAGGGGGAAGTGGCCCTGGCGGCCCCTCACCCTGTCCGGGCCCACACCCCGCTGTCTCCCGCCACCGCTGGATGTTATGGGGACCCTGGGTGGTGGCGCACGGTGACTGTCCTCTCCTGTCCTTTGCCGAAGCTCCTTCCTCTACGCCTTCCTGAACCTCCTGGTCAGCGCCTCAGTGGTCTTCCTGGTCTTCATCGCCAGCACCATTGTGAGTGTGGGCTTCACCATGTGGTGTGATGCCATCACCGAGAAGGGCACCGTGTCCCACAGGTGCGCCTGGGCCCCTCCCCCCCCCCCCCCCGCCTGAGCCTGGGGTCTTGTCCACCCCACCTGCGCCTCCTGCCTCTGCACACCTGGCCAGGGCCTTCCTGGGACCTGCCCCCTTGGCCTCAATACCCCTTCAATGAGAGTAGGGCAGCCCTCACACCCTGGGGGTAGAGCCAGGCTGGGTGTGTGCGTGCGTGTATGTGTGTGTGTGCGTGTGCGAGTGTGTGTGTGTGGTTGGGGGGGTAAGGAGGCCCGGTGCACTCGGACCCTGGAGGGCGGATATGGCAGCACAGCACAGGCCCTGGAGACCTGGGCCGCCTTCGAGGCAGAGGCCTGGGCTGAGTGCGGGGCCCGGTTTGGTCGTGGAGGGTTTGGAAGATAGCAGTAGGGGTAGGGGGGAGCGGGAGCAGAAGCTTCTGGTTGGAGGGTGTCAGGGATGGGGCCTTTGGGTCCAGGACAGTTGCCTCACCGTTTGGGGGTGGTGCATGCCGCTCCCCATGCCCCGTGTCCGGGTGTCACCCGCCACCCCACCTGCTGTTTCAGCTGCGAAGAGCTCCAGGACATCAACTTGGAGCTCAACGTGGACAACTCTGCCTTCTATGACCAGTTTGCCATCGCCCAGGTAGGTGGGGCAGGCGGTAGGCGGGGCTGTTCTGGTGGGCGGGGCCGCCGGGTAGGCGGGGCTGTTTTGGTGGGCGGGGCCGCCAGGTAGGCGGGGCTATTCTGGTGGGTGGGGCCGTCAGGTAGGCGGGGCTGTTCTGGTGGGAGGGGCCTCTGGGTAGGCGGGGCTGTTCTGGTGGGAGGGGCTGCTGGATAGGCGGGTCTGCCAGGTAGGCAGGGCTGTTCCAGTAGGCGGGGCTATTCTGGTAGGAGGGGCTGCCAGGTAGGCGGGGCTGTTCTGGTGGGCGGGGCCGCCGGGTAGGCGGGGCTGTTCTGGTGGGCGGGTCTGCCAGGTAGGCAGGGCTGTTCCAGTAGGCGGGGCTATTCTGGTGGGCGGGGCCGCCAGGTAGGCGGGGCTGTTCTGGTGGGAGTGGCTGCTGAGACCCGGGACTGCTCTACTAGGCAGGGAATCGTTGGGGAGGGGACCAGTCACTGCCGAACGCACAGACCGTCCCCAAACGCTCTCGCCCTCATCTAGGGGAGGTTGAGGATGGGGCCAGGCGAAGGAGATAACAGCTGAGTGAGCGGTGTAGTCAGGAAGGCTTCCTGGAGGAGGGGTTGGGAGGGCTGGATCTTGGAGACGGGGTGGGGGTTCTTGCAGGTGGATGTGGACAGGGGTGAGGCATTGGGTGTCCTAGGAGGAGGGGCCAGCGTGAACTAACTGCAGAAGTGAGGTTCAGAGGGTGAGGGAGTGGCCCTGTGCTGGGTGGAGAGGAAGCCAGGCATCAGATCCCGGGTCTGCGGTCCAGGGCAGGGCGCTTGGAGTGGGCACCGTCTGATAGATGCTGGAGGGCTCGCAGTTCCTGCCCGGCCAGGGGAAAGCTGATGCCGTGTCTGCGGAAGGGTGTGGGGGCGGAGCTCCTCTCCCCGCCCTGCCCTCCGGGAGACCTGGTACCTCTCTGGGGACACCATTTGCAGGTGTATCCGGACTTGTCAGTGGTCAGTGAGCGCCTGTGTCTCAAAGTCTGCATTCGTGTCCAGGCGGATGACACTGGTGCGGGGTGTCCGGGCGGGGTTGGCTCCTTCCAGCACAAGCGCACCAGGGCGTGCTGGCATCCAGGTCTGGTTTTGGACCCCACGCAGCCCTCTCAGGGCTCATGTGGGCCCATGCCTGGTCTGAGGACTCTTCTTATGGAGAGGAACCCGCTAGGCAGCTGGACGTCTGGCGGGTCCAAAGGTTCTTTGCTGAGATGAGCTGAAAGCGCCAGAGACCCGTTCACGAAAATTGAGTGGAAAATGCCTCAGTGCTACTTTGTGCCAGTTAGATTAGGGGAAGGCGCGAGCTGAGTCTGGTGACAGCCTGGAATGAGGATCTGGCGCGAGCGGCCCCGGCCTGCTTCCACTAAATTGTTTCTCCTTCAGCTGTCCCAGCAGCTGCCGGGGGCTGTTATGGGCGGGCGTCCTTGGAGCTGGGTGGGCCGGGCCGCCTGGGCGCAGAACCCCCCAGAGCATTGTGCTGCTTGGGGTTCAGCGGGCAGGCCGCCAGAGGCCAGGAAGGGGTAGGCGCACGAGGAGTGGGCGAGCGGATCCTGGGGCAGGCGGGCGGTGGGTCTGGCTGGCCTCCTGACCCCGCGTCTGCCCTCTGTGTAGTTCGGCCTCTGGGCCTCGTGGCTGGCCTGGCTGGCCGTCACCATCCTGGCTTTCCTGAAGGTCTACCACAACTACCGCCAGGAGGACCTGCTGGACAGCCTGGTCCACGAGAAGGAGCTGCTGCTGGCCAGGCCGGCCCCCCGCGCCTCCTTCCAGGAGGAGAAGAGCGCCGTCATCTAGGTGCGGGCAGGGGACCCCGGCCCCCAGACACGGCCCCCCCCCCCGCCCTGCCTTGTCCCGGGGCTCACGGCCCCACCCGGGGGAGCAGCACGTGGGGGGGCCCTGCCTGGCCCCGCCTGCCCCTCACCTCGCGTGTCCCCACCTCAGCACCGTGCAAAGTGAGTGACCCCGCTCACCTGAGCCCCCCACCCCCGCCGTGCCAGTGGCGGCTGAGCAGGTGGGCACCCGCCCTCAGACAGGGCCTCGCAGGGGCCTCCTCCGGGCTCCGTGCTTGTGCAGCACGCCTGTCCGGGGGTGTCCGGACCCTCGGGCACCTCTGGCCACAGGGCTCGCCTGCTCACATGGCCGGATGCCGTCTCCACGCCGGCTTGCCCGGGTGTGATTCTGTGTGCGATTCTGTGACGGCAGCCCGTGTCCCCCGAGTGACCCCAGCCCGTGATGGCCACATGTCCCTCTTGTCCCGTGCCCCTGAGCAGTGTGTGGGACAAGAATCCCATGACCTGGGAGCGGGGGGTGCAGGAAGGAGCTCTCCGGCAGCGCACCCCCCACCCCTACCGCAGACCTGGGTTCCCTGTGCTGTTCCATGGCCCCCGGTGGCCAGGCCTGGTCTCAGCGTCAAAGGCACAGGGCAGAGGTGTTGCCCTCAGTCAGTGGCTGTGTGGCTGCCCTGGAAAGTGGCCGTGGTGTCAGGGCTGGGCGCCCGCATCTGGTTCCCCGTGTCCTCTGCCGCAGCACTTGCTAGGGGAGCAGGGACCCCCACCTGGCTCTGCCTGGAGGGTCCCTGGACCCCTGTATTTGTGTCACAGTGAGGGGAGGTGGGGACGGGCTGAGGGTCACACCACCCCCTCGGAAGGACGGGATGGGGCAGGTGTCTGTGCGAGCATGTGAGTGCACGTGAGAGTGTGAGTGTGTCTGTGTGATATTAGTGTGTGTGTGACAAAGTGTGTGCACATGCATGTCAGTCTGCATGGGAAGGCGTGTGAGTGTGTGAACTGTGAGCATGCAGCTCTGTGTGAGCACATGCACATGAGTGTGAGTGTGCATGCACACAGGAACACATGTACAAATGTGAGTGAGTGTGCATAGGAATGCGAGTGTGTTCACATGCATAAGTCTGTGAGCATGAATGGGAATGTGCGCGCGCACAAGTATGAGTGTGAATGCGAGTGTGAGTGTGTGCTCAAGTGTGAGTGTGTGTGCACAGCTGTGAGAGTGAGTGTGTGTGTGCCAGAAGCTGTGAGCAGACATCAGAGCTGGTGAGGACACAGCGGTTCCTCTGACCTTCATCCACTGGGTCGCCTCCAGTGCCCCTCCCCCCCCACCCCGTGGAGGGAGGGGCTGCCTCCCCCGCTGGTGGTGGGGCCTGGAGCACTGAGACCCAGAGGGCGCAGCCCGGTCCGCACGGCACAGGTGGAGGAGCTGGGGGACCCGTGACCCCAGAGTTCAGTGATGAGCACCCTGGAACTGCTTGGCTGTGGACCCCCCTCCTCACGGGGCTCCCCGGCTTCTGCGTCTGCACCCAGTCCTCTGAGTCCTGTCCAGCAGCGGGACACTGTGTTCTCGCGGCCTGGACTGACCCTCTGGCTGCTCCCCACCCTCCAGGGGAGGAGACACCTGGCTCCCCACATCTGTGCCTCCCGCTGCCAGGGCCTGGCCTGGTCTCCCACGTGGGGGACACGCATCTCCAGGGGCCATGGATGCTGGCCTAGGGCGAGGTGCCAAGGGGGCGGGCAGCCTGGGCCAGCGAGGGCAGGCTGCCAGTCACCTCCTGGCACCTCAGAGGCGCGCTGGCCCCGGGCCCCGGCCGAGAATGCCGGACAGAGCAGCTGGCTTCCCGGGGGGAGCTGTTTGGGGAGAACTGAGGCCCCCAAGCAGATCCAGGCCCCCCACCCTCGTAGACCAGCTGAGGGGACCCTCCCCCGAGAGCTTTGCTCTGTTCCCAGCAGCCGGCCAGGTGCAGGGCAGAGGAGCAGCGGCGGGATGTGGCTTCTGGAGCCCGAGGGGCCGCTGCAGGTTTGTGACCTGGTCTGGGTCACAGGGAGCCAGTCTTGGGCAGTCCCCGGGGCAGGCTGGCCGAGACACGCGCCCACTTACCTAAAGGTGTCGCTTGCAGAGCGGGGTTGTAGCTGGCACAGACCCGTCTCCAGCCGGCGGGGGGCCTCCAGGGAAGGGACGGCTGGGTCCCCCGGGGCTGGGCAGGGAGGGGCCCGGGCTTCCTGAGGTCCGGCCGCCCGGTCGCTTCTGCTTCTTCCAGCTGCTGGTGGATAACAGACATCTTTGTTTTAATTCTACTTCTGACGAAAACTGAAAGTAATGATTCTTAAGTGTATCTATTGCTCAACGTCCAAATAAACAAACTCCTGCGCCTTGAATGTGGACGATGGAGCCGCCGTGTCCCCGTCCCCAAGCTCCATCCACCTTCAGCTTCTGGCCTCCAGTGTTTCGTCCGCTCCTAAGATGTAAAACCTGCCTCATGTTTGTTCCTGTCGCCCAGAAACTTGCTGGGATGAGGGCCTGGCCTCTCTCTCCTTCACATCCTCGCGGGCCCGGGAGCTTCCCCGGGCGGACGGGTGGACGAGATGGACTTTGGATCTCAGGGTTATGTGTGGCCTGAGCAGCGTTTTCCCCAAAGCAGGGGCTCACAACCTGTGGCCCCTCCGGAGCCGGGATGTCTTTGCCTTGAGGGACCCTAGGCTGAGAGCAGCGGGCTGTGGGGAGGGGGCTGCCTCACGCCTCCAGCACGGCTTCCCCAGGGCAGGGCCAGGGCTGGGGTGGGACGGGGCGGGGCTGAGCCTGAGGCCTGTGCCCCCCCCCCACAGGCTTGGACATGTGACCTACCTCTCTGAGCCTCAGTTTCCCCATCTGGAGCATGGGCAGTAGCCTGCCTGTTCTCTTCAGGGGCTGGGGTGAGGTGAGACTGGGTCCCTGGGGGTGGGGGGGGGCTGCTGGAACCATCTGTGGCACTGGATGGTCCCTGAGGCCTGGGGCCGGTCCCCACCATGGCCCCCCGTAGGGTACTGCTCCTGGAGCCCGGCCCTCCTTGTCACTGGGCCCCCTGAACCCTGAACCCTGTGAATCACCGCCCCAGCCCGAGGCCCAGCAGGAAAGGGCCCCCCAGTGCCCCCACTTCTGCTTTAGCTGATGAAGCAAATTTCATAGGAAATCGGTTTCCATTTCACTCCTTTGGGTAAAAAACCCGCAGACTGATAAGAGAGGTGGCAGTGTGTTTTAATAGAAAATCAGTGTGTCCCCGCTACCAAAGTGACCCCGGGAAGGAGCAGCAGGCACTGGCCATCCCGCGGACGCTTGTCTGCAGGCTGCCGGGGGAGATGGCACCTTCCTGGCAGTCCCTCCTGCTGTCTGACCACAGGCCTCCCTGCTTTGTCCAGGACCCCCTCCAGGCAGGGTCCAGAGGGGCCCTGGAGTTTGTCACCACATGACTCCTATGGCCAGCGATGACGTGGTGTCTGTACACGGTCAAGGGACTCAGAGGCATTGCATCTGGCATGAGGCGCCGCCTGGGGCCCGGACGCACGTGGCTGTGGTCCAGAGGAGGTAGGGGTCCGGGCAGAGCAGGCTGGCTCTCGTGGCTCCCGGGGGACAGCTGAGGCGGCCAGCAGCACATGTTTCCCCCAGGGCACGAGAGGCTCCCCGAGGCCTTGGGGCCCAGTGCAGGGGTCCAGCCTGGGCTCAGAGGCTGGGACCCCCCCCCACAAGCAGGGGAGATGCCAGGCCCTGCCCTGCATGCAGCTGCAGGAGGGGGGGCCCCCACACCAACAGCCAACCCGTCTGCCTCCGCGGGGTTTTGAGGTCCAGGCCCCACAAGCCCTAAGCAGCAAAGGCCATGCACCTCCGAGGGGTCTCACGGATACAGCGTCGGCGTCCCTGTCTTCACGGGGCCCCACATGTCCACATCCAGGCCTGGCCCGAGGGTACGGAGTTCCCGGCGGCGGGAGGGCTCTCTGGGGCCCGAAGCATCAGTGGACCCCACATGTACAGGGGGGCCCTGGTTGGGGCCGGTGGGCTGCCTGCTGCTCCAGAGTGGGGCTCCGGGCCCCCAGGAGGCAGGGGCCAGCATGGGCCGCCGTCACAGCTGCAGGAGACGGTGCCAGCAGGTGACGGCCGTGTGCCTCAGGCGCAGGGCGAGCATGAGGAGCCGCGCCCGGAGGTCCTCGAAGGCCAGGGTCACCTGCTTGGCCCGGCCGCAGCACAGGCCCAGCACGAGGGCCAGCAGCACGCACGCGCACAGCCGCAGGAGCAGGGAGCCGCCGCGGGGCCGGGGCCGGCTGGGCGCTGGGGGCGGAGGGGCCCGCTGAGCCCCTGCCCGCAGGCCCGACGGCAGGTAAGGGCCCCGTGGGGCTCCCTGCTCTTGCGGGGCTGGCGGGTGGGGGGCTGCAGGGCGGGTAGTGGGTCCCCGGGTGCCCCTCACGGTCCCCATGGTGCGTGGAGCACCCCCATCCCTGCCTGGGGCCTCTGTTGGCTCTGCCCCCCGCACCCTCCCTTGGGACAGGGGTGCTGCTGCCTGGGGTGTGTGTCAGGGACCCCGGCTGAGGGAGGGGTCTTGCGGGGGAGGGGCGTGTGTCTGGCGAATGTGGCCTGGGCACAGCGTGTGGGGGTGGGGCGAGGGCTCAGACTCACCCGTGGTGGGGTTGGCGGGCTCCCTGCTGGCGATGTCTGCGGCGGAGATGGAGAGGGCTGGGCAGGGAGGCCCCAGCCTGGGGGGCCCACGTCCCCCACCTCAGCCTGCACGCCCTCAGGGCCTCGAATGTCACTCCCACCCCCCAAAGGACCCTGAGAAGGGCCGAGTCAGACACAGCTACCCCGTTTCCCGAGGGGAAGGTGCGGGGCCCCCCAGGGTCCGCACCCGACACCGCCCAGGGCCCGCCCCAGCCTGGCGCTTCAGGTTGCAGCTGCCAGGGCTCCAGGATCCCAAGAGCCTGTGGCAGTGTGGGGGGCGGGGACCCCACAGGTGGCTTGGGAGGGGCCTGTAGAGGACCCTCACTCCCGTCCTTCAGGCTCGGTCCCCTGGGGGCCCCGACCAGCACCCCCACCTGGGCCCTGGGGCCCCGTCCACACTCTGCGTCAGGGCTGTCGGGAGGCTCCTGGGGGGAGCCCCGAGGCTGGGAGGGACGGGCGCAGAGGGCAGGTGTGAGGAGCCTTGTGAGGTGCCCGCCGGGAGGAGTGGAGGCCCGGACTGGGCGTTTGTGACCGGCCATCCGGGGACACCCGCACACGTGTCGGGCAGTGCGCTTCCCACAGCTCGTCTTGCGGGGGAGGGGCTGTGGGGCGGAGTCCAAGATGTCCCCACCTCTCTAGGGGCCCCACCTTTGTGTCGTCCCCTCCCCTTAGTGGGGGCCTGTGACTTGCTTCTACCCAAGCGAATAAAGCAAAGGGCAGAGGATTCTGCAGCTGAGATGCAAACCCCAGTCAGGTGACTTTGAGTCCCCTCAAAAGGGAGATCATCTTGGGTGGGCCTGACCTAAGCAGGCACACTGTTTCAAAAAGAGGGTCTGGCGGTCAGGCAGCGGGTCTGCTGCTGTGGGCTGTGGAGCGGCGAGGAGATGACTTCTGCAAACAGCACGTCGCTGGGAACAGGACGCTCTCAGATGCGAGGCGGCCCCGGCCCCCCCGGACGGCAGCCTGGAGGGCGAGGCCTGAGCAGACGGCCGGCCACACCGGGCCTAGACCCCTGGCCCAGGGAGTCACTGCAGTAGTGAGTGTGGGTTGCTTGAAGCATCCAAGTCCGTGGTAGTTGTTACCTGGTGTAGCTAGCTGGTACAGGGGCTGGTCCCATGGGAAGGGCCGAAGCCGGTGTGAGGCGGGCCGGGGAGGAGACGGCAGGTGCTGGTGAGGGGCCCTGGGGCTGGGAGGTGGGCAGTGAAGGACGCGGGTGTGGGCGCAGCTGAGGGGCGGTGGGGTCGTCCCGTGCTGAGGGAGGAGCGGGTGGGCGCCGGGGATGCCCGCCCGCTGGCCTCCCCGCGAGGACGGGCAGGACGTGGGCAGCTCTGGGTTTACGGTTTTCCTGCCAGTTGCTGTTTTGTTGACTGTTCCTCTGTGTCCAGACTGACCCGCGGGCCCGGGTCTCATTGGGGTTATTGGGGTCCCTCCAGAGGGCCCTCCTAGGACACGTGGCCCCCTGCCCCACCTGGCCCCGGGCCTGCTCGCCGCGACCCGTTCTTACAGTGGACGGCCACCTCCAGGGGCTCCTGGAACCGCACGTGCCTGGAGGTCTTCCGTGGCTCTGCCCCGCGGCTGCGGCGCTCCGGCCCGCTGCGCCTCAGGATGGAGGGGGGCGTCCTGTCGCCCTCCTGGGGGGGCAGATGCAGAGGGAAGGAGTGAGCCCCCGGGGCGGGAGACGAGCTGCCCCCCGGGGACCGCCCCACCTCCAGCCCCAGCCCCGGGCTCCCGAGGGGCTGGTGGGGGCCGGAACAAGGTCACCGGGGCCAGCACGACGGACGGCGGGTTGCTGGGGCCGCGGCTGTGGTCAGTGGCCGCGCAGGCCCGTGTCTCCTGCTCAATCCCGATGGCGTCCGTGACGATTTTTACATGTCAAGCATGATGATGATGATGGTAATTGTGAGCATCCCTTAAGGGCCGTCTTCACGGCCGAGCTGCCCACACAAAACCTCACTGAGTCCCGGCCCACTCACGCCCGCCCCCCTCCCCCGTGCCTGGGCGCCAAGGAGAAGGGGCCTGAGCCAGGCCTGCTCAAGACCAGTGCCTGGCGTGGGTCACACAGTGGGCCTCTGTCACTCACCCGTGGACAGGGCGGTGGGTCCGAGCATGAGACAGGGGATGTGGACAGACAGAGCCTGGACACAGGTGCCCGCCCAGGGGCCGCCCTCCCACCCACAATGAGTTTGGAAACTGGAATTACCAGACTACTCTGAGCCTCAGTGTTTCCATCTGTAAAGTGGCCACAACAGCTGCTCTGATCACAAGTGACCCATTGCTCACTGGCTCCTGGTGGGGGGGGCCCTGGCGGCACGGAGCCCGCTGCTGGCCTTCTGGGGGGGCATGAGACCCACCTAGTCCTGGGGTTTGGCCCAGGTTGTGGCTGTCCCCACCCCCCCCTCGGCTGGGATGCCTGCCCCGGCCCGGTGGTGAGCGCTGATGCCAGGTCAGGCTCCGGCCTGAAGCTGGTTCCCACTCTGCCCTGGCCTGGGCTCCGCCGGCCGCACCCTCACAGGACATCTGGCCCTGCCTCTCTCCCCCCTCCCCCCTCCCCCCCCTCCCTGGGCTGCAAGGGGGCCTTGTTAGGGAAGCATCCAGACTTGCTTCTGTGTCGCTCCAGAGCTGCTTCCTCTGCCTCACCCGCCATCTCTCCCAGCGCCGCAGACCGCCTGGCCCGGCCTCCTTGCCCTTACAGGCCGCAGGCCCGCCCTCGCCCTGGCCACGCGCCTCTGGTCTTGCCGTG